TGTTGTCCATCCCCCTGGGAGGGGGTTATATGTAGATCATTGTGCTCAGTTCCCCCTTTCTCCCCCCACCTTACTCCCTCCTGGTTGGCTACTCTCAATATTGGTCCTGAGGGGTTTATCTGTCCTGGATTCCCCGTGTTTCCAGCTCTTATCTGTACCCATGTACATGCTCTGGACTAGCCAGATTTGTAAGGTAGAATTGGGATCATGGTGGAGGTGGGGGACAGGAAGCATTAAAGAACTAGAGGAAAGTTGTATGTTTCATCAGTGCTATACTGCATCCTGACTGGCTTGTCTCCTCCCCCTGACCCTTCTGTAAGGGGATGTCCAATTGGCTACAGATTGGCTTTGGGTCTCCACTCTGCACTCCCCCTCATTTACAATGATATGCTTTTTAATTCGGGGTCTTTGATGCCTGATCTCTGATCCCATCAAAACCTCATGATCACACAGGCTGGGTCATTTATTTGTTGTTATTGTCAAAGATATACATGCATATATAAAGATAGATACAAATAAAAATATGCATCCCACCACATATTTGTCAGTTTGTTGTATTGTGGGGGCTTGCTTGTAGCCATGATGCTGGAAGTTATGTCACTGGTATTTCAAATGCCAGCTGGGTCACACAAAGTGAGCAGGTTTCAACTGAGCTTCCAGCTTAAGAGCAGACTAAGAAGGAAGAGGCTTTCCGCTTCTGAGGAATTAGCAACGGAAAGCCTTATGGGTGGCAGCAGAGGATTCCAGATACTGAAAACCTCATGAGTAGCAATGGAACACTGTCAGATACAGTGCTAGAAAATGAGTCCCGCAGGTGGGGAGGCACTCAAAATGTGAAAGAGTTGCTTTCTCAAAGTAGAGTCGACCCTAATGCCCTACCTAGATGGAGTAAAGCTTTCCCGACCTTCATTTGCGGATGAGGCACAAGTCAAAATGAGAACAAACAGCTGTAAACATTTATTAATGATGGAATGTGGAATGTATGAAGTCTGAACCTAGGAAATTGATTGTTGTCGAAAATGAAATGGAATGCATAGCGATAGATATCCTAGGCATTAGTGAGCAAAAGTTGACTGGTATTGGCCATTTTGAATCAGATAATTACATGGTTTCCTATGCTGGGTGACAAACTCATGAGGAGTCATCATAAAAAGTGGGTATTTCAAGATCTGATGTGAAGTATAATGGTGTCTGGGACAGGACAATAGCTATGCCCATTCAAGGAAATCCAGTCAATACAACTATTATTCAAATCTGTGCACCAACCATTAAAGCTATTCTTCAGTGATGTAGTCACTGAAGAATTCTACCAACTTCTGCGGTCAGAATTTGGTTAAATATGCATTATGCATCGATAATTATTGGTGATTGGAATGCAAATGTTGGAAACAGAGGAAGGAACAGTAGTGGGAAAAAATGACCTTGATCATAGAAATAAAGCTGGAGGTTTCACGATAGAATTTTGCAAGCCTGACAACTTCTTCATTGCAAATATCTTTTTCCAGCACCACAGTGATTATACACATGTACTTCAACAGATGGAACAGGCAGGAAACAAATGCACTACATCTGTGGGAAAGGACCAAGGACAAAGATCTAGATCAGCAGCCAAAATCAAGGCAGGGGCTGACTGTGGAACAGGCTATTGATTGCTCATGTTTAAGTTCAAGTCAAAATTGAAGAAATTAAAGTTCATGAGAGCCAAAATACAGCCTTGAATATATTCCACCTGAATTCTGTGAACATCTCAAGGACAGATTTGACTCATTGAACACTAATGACAGAAGACCTTTGGGGTGATATCAAGAACATAGTACCTAAAGAAAGCAAAAGATCACTGAAGAGACAGGAAAGAAAGGAAAGGTCAAAGTTGATGTCAGAAGACTGAAACTTCCTCTTGATCAGAGAGTAGCTAAAGTATGTGGAGGAAATGATGAAGTAAAAAAGCTGAAAGAAAATTTTCAAAGGGCAGCTTGAGAAGACAAAGTATTATTATTATAATGAAATGTATAAAGTCTTGGAGTTAGAAAACCCAAAAGGAAGTACATGCTCAGCTAAAAACATATCAAGCTGAAAAGAACTGAAACATTTTTTCAATAAATTGAAGTAATGAAATTGAAATTAATTGAAAAATTCAAGCCAGGAGCCACAAAATTAAGTCTCTGGGCACAACATTGAATGATGCAGGAAGCATCAAAAGAAGATGGAAGGGACACACAGAGAAACAGTATCAAAAGGGACTAGCCTATATTCAACCATATTAGTGATCTGTACCAAAAGTGCTGAAGAAAGAAGTCCAAGATGCACTGAAGGCATTAGTGAAAAACAAGGCCCCAGGTATTGGCGGACACCAACTGAAATGTTTCAACATTCTGATGAAGCCCTCACTGGTCTATGCCAAGAAACTTAAGATAGCTCCCTGTCCTACTGACTGAAGAGATCCATATTTGTCCCCATTCCAAAGAAAAGGTGAGCCAATGGAATGTGCACATTATAGAACAATATCATTCATATCACCTGCAAGCAATTTTTTTTTCTTTTTGCTGAAGACCATCCAATAAGAGCTGTAGCAGTACACTACCAGGGAGCTGCCAGAGGTTCAGGCCAGGTTCAGAAGACCTGGAACACGGATCTCATTCACTGTTGATGTCAGATAGATCTGAGCTCAAAGCAAAAAATACCAGAATAATGTTTATGGGTGCTTTATTGATTGTGCAAAATACAATGTGGGCTGTTGAATTTTTCACATGGGCTCTGAATCTTGAGAAATTTCCCTTCTATTCCAATTTTTCAGGGTTTTTATAAAGACATGAGTGTTGCTTTTATCAAGTGCATTATCTGCACCTATAGAGATAATCATGTAGTTTCCCCCCCTTCTATTGATGTGTTTTATTTTGTTGATTGAAATATTATGTGGAACTATCCCACTTTCCTAGAATAGCTCCTACTCAGTCATGGTATATGATTTTAAATATATTGTTAGATTCTACTCACAAGTGTTTTGTTATGATTTGTGCCTGTCTATTCCTAAGAGATAGTGGTCTGTCGTTTTCTTGGTGTATCTTTGAATGGTTTTGCTATCATGGATAGGATTAAGAAATTTCCATCGTTCTTTATCTATAGGAAGATTTTAAACTTTATTGGTGTCAATTCTTCTCTAAATATTTAGGAGAGTTATCCAGTGAAGCTATCGGTACAGGTGTTTTTGTCTTTATTTCTGCAGGGTGGGTGGTGGTGATGGTGTTTAATAGGAAGGCTTTCATCACTGATCCAATGTCTTCACGGTGGTTCTTTGTACCTCCTCTTGATTCAGCTTGGGCTGTGTGTTTCTAAAATGTATCCGTCTCATCTGAGGGATCCGGTTTGCTGCCGTACAAGTGTTCATAAGATTCTGGCACACTGCTCTTCATTTCTGCCAGGTTAGTGGCGATGCGTTTCCCTTTGCATTCTTTCATTTTTATTCTGGTTGTTTGAATCTTTCCCTTGTCTTTCTACCTACACATTTGTTAAGTTTATTGATCTTTCAAAGAACAGGCTCTTTTGGTTTTACTGTGTTGATTCTCTCTTAAGATATTCACATTTAAGTTTTCATTCTTCACGTGAACTGTCAGGTTACATGTGGACAGTATCCTTCATCAAGATGCTGCTGGGGACTGAAAGGCTTCTGGTAGTGTTACTAGCAAACATTTTTGCTGTACTTGTTAGGTGCCATCAAGTCAGGTCAGACTCAGAGTGACCCTATGTTCACCTGAACGAAACACTGCCCTGTCCTACACCATCTTCACGATTGTTGCTCATGTTTCAGTCCACTGGGACATAACCACTGTGTCACTGCAGCTCACGGAGGGCCCACCTCTTCTTCATGGCTCTTCTACTTTACCAAGCACGACACACATTTCCAGGAACTGGTCTCTCCCGATCACAAGTCCAAAGGATGAGATGAAGTCTTGCCGCTCTTCCTTCTTCTAGGAAGCATTCCGGCTGGGTCTCGTCCAAGGCGAATTTGTTCGTTCTCTGGCAGTCCATGGTTTTCCCCAGGTTCTTCACCAGCACATTCTTCAAATGCACCCATTTTCCTCCCGTCTTCCTTATTATATGTCCAACTTTCACATATGTATGAGGCAACGGAAAATTCCATGGCTTGGATCAGGTGCACCTCAAAGCGACATCCTTGCCCTTCAACACTTTAAAAGTGGCTTATGCAGCAGATTTACCCAATATCCCATCTTTTCATTTCTCCACTGCCGCTCCCATGAGCATTGATTGTGGATCCAACCAAGATGAAATCCCTGACAACTTCACCCTTTTCTCCATTTATTATAATGGTCCAGTTGTGAGACTTTTGGTCTTTTTTACATTGAATTGTTCATCTGTATTGAAGGCTATGATCTACATCAGCGAGTGCTTCAAGTCCTCCTCACTTTCAGCCAGTAATGCTGTGTGATCTGCGTATCACATGCTGTTACCAAGTCTTCCTCAATCCTGATGCCATGGCCGTCTCATGGAGTCGAGCTGCTCGGGTTATCTGCTCAGCATCCATACTGAATACGTATGGCGAGAGGACATAACCACGTCATGACACACACCTTTTCCTTATTTTCACATGGTAGTATTCCCTTGTTCTGTTTGAACGGTTGCCTCTTGATCCTTACACAGGTTCTGCAGGAACACAACAAAGTGTTCTGGAATTCCCATTCTCAATGCTTCTCTGTATCTTCTCATCAGGTGGTTCCCTCACTTTTCAACTGTTTTAGAACGAGGGGAATGAAAGCATTTCTTTTGTAGATTTTTGTCCTGGAGAATTAATTAGATTTGACAAAGAACATGGAGCGTGTTTAGCTGTTTCTCACCTACATACTTTAAATAATGAAGAGGAAAAGATAAATATTTAAGGATCACAAAGGAGGAGGGAACTGGAAATCTTCAGCTCCAGATCAGTGAGTGGGAAATTGAAAACAGCCTACTGCAGTCATTCGTCCCGTCTTCTTCACGCTACATACCTGAGGATGAAGCTCAAACTCTTCTTTACAGATTGGGCACGGCTGCAGAGAATCCCCTTGCGTGATGGATCGCTGTTTCACTTTTTCCCACTCGTCTGCGGATAGTGGCAATGGAGGAGGTTCAAAGAGGCCCAACTTCTGGGCTAAGTTAAAATAACACAAAGTATGAGTTAAATACATTTTAGAGTATGGTACTCATTTACTGTTTTCATGATTTTTCACACAAATATTAAAGTAGTACTTTATTTCAAAGTATAGAAACTGCTAGTTTCTCTGGGGCCACTTCAGAAGTCAGTGGTCATACCTTACATCTACAATAATGTTTATGCTTTCATTTACAAAGGATTTCCCCTTATTTCATTTTCTTAATTCTACAAGGCAAGCAGAATTGATAGCCAGTTTTATAGGTAGAAAATTGAGGAATAATTCCTGACACCTATTGGTCCAAAGTCTTCATAATTTCTCACCTAATTTATCTCTCAGCTTTCACCACTGACTCCAATTCATCCTTTGTCTTCCACCAGGGACCTTTATATAAAACATGCTCCTTTTTCTACTAAAAGATTCTTATGAGTTACAATTGCTGTCAGGACAATCCCTTAATTAAACCATATTTGAGTACCTACCACAGGTCTACTCGGAGGCAAGCTGGGAACGTGCCGTCTAATGAGAAACAATGATTTTGAAAAAGCAACTAATATACTGGAGCAAAAGGTTGGTGGGAACATGTATATCAACTTCCTCTAACTTGCCAAAGCCCTAAAAATGACAGTGCATGTGTGAAAATGTGTTAACTTCCAACGGTATCTTTGACAATGTAAAATGAAGTGTCATATTCATGAAATAAGAAAAAGAAGTAGGATAAAACAACATTCACTGCTGTGGAGCCGATACTAATTCACAGCCACGCTATAGCACAGGGTAGAGTGTCCCTGTGAGTTCCCAAGACTAACTCTTTACAGGAGTAAAAAGCTCCATTCTTCTGCCCCGGAGCAGTCTCGCTCAAGGTTTCGAATTGCTGATCTTGCGGATGCTCCTGTAAATTACTTGAAATTTGGGGGATTTAGGAATGGGGGTCATTTGAAAGGCTGAAGAAAAAAGGTGGGTTAAATGATGTATCTTTCATAGAAAGATGTATCGATGGTGTATCTTCTACGATGTATCTTTCATAGAAAGTAGCAAGCAAAATACATCAGGAGTTGGAAAATAAGAAAATTAAAAGGTCAGTCTGGGAGATGTTATAAGAATTTCAGAAAGAAAATAGATGAAGAGCAAGGAAGGAGAAGGAGAGGAAGGGAGGAGGGAAGGTGGCAGAGGCGAGGGTGGGGCCAAGAGTGAGAGAGAGGGAACCCAGGTCTTGGTTTCTAAATCCCATTCTTCACGGAGAAAAGGCTAATTCTAGGCCAGAGTCCTAGAGCATCTCGTTCCATAAACACAAAATAAGCAAAACACAAAGGATGGGGACACTGTGAACAAGAACAACAAAAACCCAGTATTGGACTATACAGCACAAAGTACAAAATAAATATATGAGTCTGTGCTAAAATAAACAACTGAATGAATACATCCGGGAAAAGGGACCAGTCTTCCAAATAATACATGTAGATATTGCTCCTTCAGGAGGTTCAGCTAAGCCACCACACGTTTAAATACACAACTACTCACTTCCAAAGAATAGAATATGGAAAGGGAAAAACGTAACCTGTCAGTGGAGAAACTTGGAAAAGCCAACCACGACCAAGCGGAGGTTACCCTCACCAACGACAGGATATGCAGTTATCCTGCTGCCCTAAGATGTGATACCTCGGGCATTCTGCCGCTTTGGCGTTCTTTCCATAGCTCATCACTCCAGTCTAATTCTGGTGACAAACCAAAGCTGAGGGGTGCTCTACAGAGTACTTGACCAGTACCCTCAGAATAAAGACGGAAACAGGATCATAAAAACTGAAACAGTATCACAGAGTAGAGGAGACTAAGGACACATGACAATCATATGCAATGTGTTTTGAGGGGGCGGGATTCTGGAGTGGAAAAAAGTTATGAATGGCAGACTAAGGAAATCCAAAGGAAGTGTGACGTTTAAGTGTGGTCTTCAGTGTGGATTGCAATGCAATGTAAAAAAAAAATTCCCACAACTACACAGCATCATGATAAATAACGAAAAGATCAAAATTGCCCAGGATTTCATTTTACTAGGATCCACAATCACTGCTCCTGGAAACAGAGGTCTAGAATGGGGAGCTCATAACAATGTGTACAAGAATGAAGAAAATGTTTTTAAAGCGATTGTGGTGATGACTGTATAACTCTTCTTGATATGATGGAACTACTGAATGGTCTATGTGAATTATATGCCAATAAAGCATTTTTTAAAAAGAGAGATCACCATATTGCATTGGACAAATCTGTTACACAAGGCCTAGCTGACGTGTTAAAGAGCAAAGCTGTTACTTTTTAAGGACTAAGGCAGCCCTGACCCACACGCAGGGGAGAGCTGGACAATGAGTAATGAAGACTGCAAACGAATCGGTGCATTTGAATTGGGTTTGGGCAAAGCCTATATTGAAAGTGCCCTGCACTAGCGAAGCATAGACAAGCCTGTCTTGGAAGAATTACAGCCAGAGTGATCATTAGAGTGAGGATGGCAGGACTTCATCCCCCGAACTTTGGACATGTTCTCAGCAGTGATCTCGGAAAAGGGCGTCACGGTTAGAAAAGGCCCTTGAAAAGAGATTGACACAGTAGCTGAAACAATGAGTTCAGCAATTGTGAGGCTGGTGCAGGACCCGGCAGTGTTTTATTCTAGCGTGGTCATTGAGTTGGGGTCAACTTGATGGTACTTAACAACAACAACAAATATATATACCATGATAATGAAAAATGTTAACACTAGAGAAAAGTAGATGTATACTCTGACTACGTGCAGCTTTTCTGTAAATTTAAAATTCTGAAGCATTTACAAACATCAATAGCTGAAGCATAACTTTAAATATAACTCAACAAAAGCCATGTCTGAAAATAAACTACCTGCTGCTCAAAAATTTTGTTTAATTAAGATAAAAAACAAAACGAAGAAATCTAGTTCTAAGACCTGACTGACTAGGAACGAGTACTACATGCCAACTTGCAGGATTGAGCTCAATCAGTAGGTTGTGGCGTGTACATAGCTTTATTTCTTAACTGAAGGCTTTTTATTGGGAACTAGATGAAGATTTACTGAGCAGATCGTCAACAACTCATGGACATTTTGCTTCAACTCATCATTGCAGTCTTTTCAGTGTCCCTTCACTATTGTCCCACTTCCGATCGATTATTCTACCCCGGGTGTGTGTGTGTGTGTGTGTGTGTGTGTGTATGAACTGCATGCATGACTAAGGGCCATAGTCTCAGGGTTCCACCGGCCTCTATCTGACCAGGGTGCCTGGTCTTGTGATGGCTTTGAGTAGCTGACATTTTCACCCCGTTCTGCTTTTCAGAGCAGTTGTCCCTTGGGGGTAGTAGCCAGGCGCCACCGAGTTTTCTGGTTTCAGGGTTGTGGAGACTGATGTTTATGTGGTCCCTGAGTCCATTAGATAAATGAAGGGACGTGTGTAGCTTTGAATATAGTTATCAGAAAGCAAAAAAGTCTGGAAATAAATAAACTACGTACTTAAGGAGCTAGAACAAGAGAAATACAGCAAATCTAAAGAAACAAAAAGAAAATCCCAAAGGCAGGTCAGATTAGCAATACAAGAGAAACCAATAATAAAATAAAATCTCTACTAGGTATCAACCCAAACTAGTTTTCTGAAGAGACATTTCTACCCAAACTGGCTAGTCCAAACAGGAAAATGCAAACAAAATATGGAAAAGAAGCAAAGTAAATAATCATAAAGGTAACTTTGAAAATTTTAAGTAGTGCATATTTTTTTAAAAAACCATAAAGCATTGTAGTTGAGTTGACTTCTGAATCACAGGACAGACTACAACTGCTCTGGAAGCTTTCCAAGACTCATCTTTATGGAAGCTGAGAGCCACACCTTTTTTCCGAGGAGCAACTAGTGGGTTCGCAGGGCAGGCCTCTTAGGTGGCATATGAGATTTTCATCACTGTACCACCAAGGCCCTTTAACATACATCTATATGTGTGACAAAAACATTCCAAATACATGTACATGTGAAAGTTTACATGTGATAAATATACTTCTAGAAAAATACATTAGAATTGTCACCAAAAATAAAAATAAAAAAACAAACTGAATTGATTAGTGTTAACTACCTTCTTATCTTCTCCCATCTTGTGTGCTAACAGAACTACAGTATTATTTGGAAATGCGTGCCAGGAATGAGTCATGACTGATCCAAATATGTAGGGGTGACATTATTGTAATTTCAGGTCAGAGGTGAGGGCCAGTGCAATGAAGAGCTTCTAGTAAAACTTCCCAGTCCTCCCTTGTTAATTCATATCTTGTAATTGAAGACTTGATCTTGGACTGGGCAGGCATCTGGTAAACCTGAGTGCAGTCATCACCGACACACTGACCATGGCAGGCTGGAAAGGGGCTGGCCTCAGAATACACTGCCAAGCAACTGGACCAAACTTAGACAAACTACCCCTGAACGCCTGGCTGGCCTAAGTAGACAATCAATATTGTTAAGGTTTAAGTTATTTTCAGTGCATTTTTTTTAATACTTTAAGTCAATGTATCTTAGTGATAACATTTTCCCACTCTTATCTTGCTTTCCCACTCCAAAAAGTTTGGCCCCAAATGATTTGACAGGTGAGCTTTCCCAAACATTCAAGAAACATCCCTATCTTTCACAAGTTGCTCTAAAATACTGAAAAAGAAGGAAAATTTCCAAACTTGTTTTACGAACCTAATATGACTGTGATAAAATCAAGTAGGGGCAGTATAATAATCATAGTCCAGTATAGCTTATACATAGAAACATCCTGAGAAATGTTATTAATCAGAATGCAAAGTGGACTTAAAAGATCATCATGATCAATCAGAATGTATTCAGAGTGTGCAAAAAAATTCAACATCAGAGTGTCTATAACATAATTTATTACATAAACAAACGGAGAAAAATAATAATCGAATCAACAGTTATAAAAATTCATGCCCTGAAAGTACATATATTTGATATTTAAAACAAAAACCTTTTAGAAAGCTGTGGAAGGGACATTTCTTAATTAAATAGGGCCATCTGCTAAAACCTAAGCAAAATAAAACAAAAAACAACTGACGTAAATGGAAGTTTAAATGTTAGGCTCAAGAACAAAAGAATTCCATGTATTACTAATTGCATTCACCACGGTTCAGGAGATCCTGAACAGAGCAAACTGAGAATAAGAAACGGGACAAAAAAAGAAAGGCAGGTTGGGGGGAGAGCACACAAATGATAAAAAAGAGCTAACTCTTCTATGCAGATGATCCAATGATTCAGAGGCAGTAAGACTGACGTGGAGTAAGATACTGTATTGATCAATGAGATGACAATCTGGCAAATGAATCACTTTCCCCAATCTACGTAGCAAGGCAATTAAAAAATTTTCCAACATGATGTATGAGGGAAATATGACAATTTTAAAAGGGAGGAAGAGCCTTTTCAACACGAATAAGGCATTACAAAACTATAATAATTAAACTGTGAGCTACTGTTATAGAAACAGAAAACCAAAGTTATACAAACACAAACATGACACTTGCTCTATGCAAACGACGGCGAGTGCTATCGTCGGTCAGAAAGGATGGGCTGTGGTTTTCGAGAAGAATGCAGCCTAGTTTTTCATACTTATCAAGTTCTCCAGCAAAATACACAGAATGCTAGAGAGCTGAATGCGAAAGGTGAAGTTTAAAAGCTAAATTAAAAAAATATGTAAAAACTTTACCGTCTTAGAAGTGGGAAGGTTTTGTAGGTTTTCTAACACACACAGAAAAGTCAAGGACAAAACGGATCAATTTAACAGTAATCAGAAAATCTATTCAATATAACAACAGTTATATTGTTCACCAGGAGAAGACATTTTGAGTGGCTCAATTAACAAGGGATTAAAAGGTAGAATATACAAAAATCTCTCGCAAACAAGTACTGATGTCTGGATGAGGCTCTAATCTAGGATTCCATGTTGCATTTTAGTTTTTTTTTTTTGCTCGGTAGTCTTTTATCATCTTGAATAGTTTTTCTGTTGGTATTTGCTTTTCTCCTCCTTGATACTTTTGCACAGCGTACAGTCAGGAACTGACTTCCTAGTGTCCTTCCTAGTGGGTTTTCCCAATGTTTCCTCAGTTACGCCCTTTGGCTAAAACACCACGGAACAGACATTCTCAGGCACATACTGTGAGTGATGTTTCCTTCTGGTTAGGATGAGCACTTGTGTTTGCTAGTGTTTTCCAGGTGCTGCCATTGTAAGAGCAATATTTACCCCTTTTTAATAAATGTCATGTAATATGTAAAGAACGCATCTGTTGGGAAACGCTGTGAGGTTACGCATGTCTCTTAGTCTCATCATACTTTTCCCCATGAGTTTCGGCATCCACTGAGATGATCATTGTGCTGTTGCTATCGGATGCCACTGAGTGGGTTCCAGCTCAGAGCAACTCTACGCAAAACAGAACAAAAGATTGCCTGGTCCTCGGCCATCCTCACACTTGTCGGCACCCTTTGCCAAAGTAACAATTATTGTTAGAAATAACAAACAATTGTCATTACTACGGTGTTTGCAAAGTGATTTTCTGTTTCCATCCTCCTCTCCTCTATCAGTCTAATAATTGCTACCGTCATTAGCTTTTTCCAAGTCAATTCTGGCTCATGGCAACTCTAGGTGTGTCAGAATAGAACTTTTGCTTGTCCAGAGTAGAACTGTGTTCTACAGCGTTTTCAATAGGTGATTTTTTAGGAGTAAGTCAGTAAGCTTTGAGTGGACTCAAACCTTAAACCTTTCAGTTAGCAGTTGGGCACTTGAACCATTTGCGTCACCAAGGAAGTACAATATATTACTATTGTTGTTGGTTGCCATCAATTAGAATGTTCATTCTATTATAAGAACTTTCTCTTTTTTATGATCCGTTTATTTCTATCAGTATGGCCTAAAAGTTATTTAATTTTACTATTTTTATTTATTCTTATTCTACTTACCATAACTATATTTTCTTGTTCAAGTTGTACCCAATCATCATTTTAAAATGTTAATGTACACATACATTGATGCATAGTTTTAAATCCAAATACTTTATTTCTATACCATGAATTTCCATTATTAATCTCAACTAGATTCATTAGCTCTAATAACTCAATTATGAATGACCGAATTAGCTTACCTAAAGTTAATGGTGGAGGCTTTGGATCAAGAACATACTCTTTTTCTGGATCTTCCACATTGGGACTCTGTGTAGTTTTTTTAAGTCCAGTATCTACTATTGCTTTTACATCTCTTTTTAGACATTTAGGCCTGTTCTCTTTCTTTTGTTCCTTTGCCTTAAAATGATCTGCTACTGAAAGTTTCTGAAGCTGAAGATCATGTAAAATATGATCTTGTAAAGCAACTGCAGTTATTGCGAGATTATCTCTTCTGGATGAGTGATCCTAAAAAGTCATAAAAAAAAAAGAAGCCTTACATATGGCAACATGTTGAAAGGAAAGCTTCATTTTTAATCCTCAATCTAGATATCATACTAGACCAAATACAATGATCAACGAGTTCCTCCAAACATTGTTACCTAAGTCAGACCATACCCTGGTCTCATCATTTAAGTTAATGTACTAATATTTTAAAATTTTATAGCTTTAATTATACATTAATCAACTCACGGGGGCCTACAAAGCTCGTCATGCCTAAACACATACTGTTTCACTATAGTTAAATTAGACTCCAAGCAAATCTTGTTTCTCTTTACTAAAGAGAACCCTGAGTTTTTAAGTATATGCTATATACATTTTTTGAGAAATTTAATACATTCTGATGCAAATTAAAATGACCATGCAGTTGTTTAGGAGATGCTCACAGTAAGGGCCACCGGAGATGGTCTCAGCAAGCCGCTTGTTGCTCCCATGCTAGCCCAGGCATCTCTCATTCTAGTTGGACATTCCTAGTTGGCTCAACCTTGCAAAATATTTGTCATCCTCTCAAATAATTAGAATATATTTCATGATAAAATAAAGGGCATGTTTTCAAAAGGGTTGTGTACCTTATTTTTTAGCATGTTGAATCAGGAAATGCTATTTTTAGCTGTAACATCAGCGCATCACAGCATATCTCAGGCTTTGATTCTCCCACTGTAAAAACAGCCAACACAAAGTCAAAGTGAGGCCCCACATACATGGGTTTATGTTAATAAGTATATATATAAATTCTAATTATTCACCAAATAATGGGACTGTACTACAGCTTAGAACTAAACGATGCATTCTGATTCTGGAGGCAAGGGGAGGAGTTCTAAACAGACATGACTTCTAAGCAGTTCACCATCTAGCTAAAGCGAACAGCAAAATGAAAGAGAACAAATGAGTGGTAAATGTTGGGGGAGGAGTTTGACTCAGAGAGAG